TGCTGTTTTAAAACCCAGTTGTTTGCTTTAGTGCGGTGGTGCCCAGTCCTACTCCTCGAGGGCCACTATCCCGCATGTTTAGATGTTTCTGTGCTCTGAATGACTAAAAGACTGACGGGGCTTTTTGTAGAATTTGCAGATGTGCTGAAGAGCAAGGAAACAACTACAGCATGCAGGATGGTGGCCCTCGAGGACCCAGGGTTAGGTGGTTTTGGAGTTTGTTTCCTCTGCCAGATAGTTCCTTCATCCTTCATAAAATGCAAATCATCAACAAGTCTCATATTTCAAACCAGTCTCAAACAAGAATCTCCACATTTCTGACAAACACCTCCCTTCACCAACTGTTTCCTGAAGTTAGACCGGAAACAGAAACTTCCTGTAAAGCTGGGATCTTTTGAGAGCGTTTGTGTCATTTTACCCTTCGTTCCTCCTCAGAATTTCATTACAGCTGCTTGTCGGGTGTTGGATCAGTGCTGCTTCTCTGCTCTCAGGTATTTAGCCTTGCAGAGCCACATTGCAGGTGCAATGGGAGCTCCTGACACCTGCTGCTTTGACCCAAATGCTTATCTCACAACTGTGTAAATAAACCAGTACGGGGGTGGATTAATGAGGTTGAAATCCGTCTGAACTGAGCAATACTCTGGTGACACTATTTTTCCACTTGTCTGCCAACAATGGTAAACCAGTAAACCAGAGGAGGGCTAAAATAAATTACATTTAGTTGCATACCCCCAGCACCCACCCATTTAGAAATGAGTGAAGTATTTCCATTAGTTTATATATTTACCTGTCTTAAAAACATATTTAAAACCCCTTAAAACCCTGTATTCAAGATGTTTTTTACTAATTTTCCTGACATTGCTGATCAGAAATCAGGAAAACAGTGCAGCTTTGATAAAACCTTAAATCCACAAATGTTTCAATTTTGAGGCTATTGATCACATTTTTAATATTCTCTATAAACACTCAGTTCATTCAGGTAAACTGTTTATATTTGTGCATATGCCAAAGCTTTATCTCACATTAAAGCAGGGATACGAACTTGTTGGTGAGTAAAACACAGAGCACCTCTCAATATGAAACCATGTAGAAACATGGCGACTACGATACCAATAAGTCTGCAAAAACAGCAATTCTGCAGAAACAATACGATGCAACGACTGAATAATTGTCTCATAATGAGCCCAAAATGTCAGTAAAACTTTAAAGTTCCTGGTGTTTTGATTAACTGAATATACTCATAGCTTGTTGACAGCTATGTCAGATAGAGTTCAACAAAAATAAAAGTATGACGAGAAAAACAATAGCTGAAAAGATCACTGAGTTCTGAATGAAACTGAATTCTTAGAGTTAAAATAATCAAAACAAAAACTAAACTTAGCAAAACAGAAGCCAAAAGATAAAAATGACAAGTATGCTGAAGTATTCAAAGAATACAAAATCTTTCAAGGATTTGGAGAATACTTTTCTCATTTCAATGGAAAAAAAAAATGTTACTGTAACGCAATTTAAAAGTGTAAAAGTTACAAAAAAATAACGGCAGAGATGTAATAACCTGAATGAGCTGAATGTTGTGATATATATGGTTAAAATAGCTAAAACCTTTTTTTTATGACTGAATAAGCTTTTACTTCTTCCTGCTATTTTGTTTTTGAATTTTTTTGTTATACAGAATAGTTTGATGGAAATATTAACTTTTTATTTTTTAAATGTTTTTTTTGTTTGTTTTGTTTTGTTGATATTTTAACTGTTCAAAATGAAATAAAGAAAAGAAATATGCTGAAGTATCCTGATGCATGCTCAATAATCCAGGTAGAAAAATCTAAAAAAGTGAAATCTGGTCCTACTAACATCAAAAATAAAAAAAATACATGAAAATAGTCAGTGTTTCAGGATTCATACAAATATACAAACATAACCAGATGTTTTACAAGAACCTAAATAGCAAACTAGCGACTCACTTTTTAAATTTAAATATTGACGTTTTGCTTCAGGACTTTAATGTTAAAATGACTCAAAGAAACACCTCAATATGTTGTCCTACACCTACTATTAATACATGGAACCACCTAATTTTACATTGTTGTGTCCATTTTAAAGTACTCTAAAAAATAAATTTTTTAACATAAATTTTAGTTGTTTATAAGCTTCTGAAGGGCCTTGAAATTATATTTGAAATACATTAATGAGCAGCAACACAGGAAAAATAAAATACTGGCTCCTCGATGTGTAAACTCCAAAATACGGTTGTTTATATCAACAAAAACACTGACCTTATTTCTTTTCTGTTTAATTAAAAAGACAGAGAAAAAAAACATTGACAATGCAATTCCAAAAATATGTTTTAAGTTTGGTGCAATAAAAGTCTCTAAGGTATTTATGTAGTGTATTCCATCTGTACTTTTGTGGGTGTTTGTGTCGTTAGTAACAAATAAATCTCAATGTCACTAATATGAATCAAGAATTTATGGAGTGACTGTGCTGCATCATCTGAGACAGGCATCCATTGTGTCATTCAATATGATTCAAAATGGATCTACCTCGACCCGACAGCCTCAATGGGAGGTTAAAGTAGGCGTAGAGGCCGACGACGTCTCAAGGGGCAGACACCCGGTCAGCTCTGCATTAGCCTTAGCTGTAGGCTGGATTAGAGGAAAGCTGCTAAGGAGGAGCAGTAATCTCCAGGGAAAGATGCCAACGTGATAATAGCTAATTGTCTGATGACCTCACCCCATCCTCATGACGAGGAGTCAGCTTCGTGACGCGAAGGTCAAGGGTCAAAATCACATGACGAGTTGGAAGGTGACAGATGTTCCAGGTCAAAGTTCGACTGTCTGAACATCATCTGCTGTAATGTTGTCTTTAAACTTTGATGTGGACCTTTTTAAACGTGTTTAAACTCCCTTCACTTAATAAAACCCCCGTTTCAGCACGTTAGCTTCCGGTCCTCTTCTTAGTAAAGATTACTAAGTAAGTGCTCACGGGTCAGAGAGTCAACATGTTGATGGGTGGAGTGAACCCATCACAGGACGGTCCTGAGTTTTTGTCTGTTATTAGAAATATTTTGTTGGTTAAAGGTTTGTAGGCTCAATCATGTAGATAACAACAAAAAAAGAGGTTAACCTTATTTTATCATCTACTTCATCAAATTCTGAAATCTAATCTTTTTTTTTATTTTTATCTGAACAATGTCTTAAGACAAAAGTAAGACCATTGAACTGCCTTTTTTTGCTTTCAGTTCCAAGAGTTTATCTGTATTCTGTGTTGGGAAATCACAGCCCAGACCTCGTCGTTTGTCTCTCAAACTGCTTGGCAGCATTTCATTAGTCAGACTCTAGAGTCGAAACACCAAGCAGAAAGAATTAATCTCTACAAAATGACTGAAAATGTCTTGCTGTAGGACTATTAAGTTAATTAAACTAGCAGTTCTGATTTAAAGTTTTCCCCGCCTCTTGCACAGCGATGGCAGGATACGGGCACCCCATGGTCCAAAAAGGAAGAAGCAGGAAACCGTAACGGATGGCTGGATTTCAGTTTTTGCTCCAAACGATTATAAGCACAGTATAACTGTATAATAATTTAGCCATATTCCGCTTTGTGAGCTTTCTTTCTCGTCTCCTTAATGAGTCGAACCTAATTTCTTTGAGGCGTGCAGGGCTGAGAAATAACATTTAACAAAGACAACAACGTTTAAAACAACGATCAACGTCTAAACGACGATTTGGGTTTTATCGGTAGAAAAACGTGTGAGAACGCAACGACCTGAACCGTCAGCTCAAACAGAATTAAACAGTGAAATCAGATATTCTGTTAGTGACAGTTAGGCCTGTCGCGATAAACTATAAATCAATTAATCACATGATAAATGAAAATTATCTATTTCATTTATCGGCTTTATCATTTCTTCATGTCTCTCTCTTTCTACTGAAGACACTGGATGACAAAAGGCTCAACTCCTTTGCTCTTCATTGACCTTTCATTTCTCTTTTTTCTCTTTAAAATCCGTTTTAACCGTCCAAAATCGCGTTTTTGGATCGTTCAAAGCAGCTAAGCTGAAAAGCTAAGCTACGAGCTAAGCTAACAGGCCGACATCAGGGAAAAAAACATCCGTCTTGTCGAAACTCCAAAATTCACGGTTGAAACCTGTGCTTTCGTGTAAAAAGTTGTTTTTCTCTGCAAAAAGAAACTGAAAACTTGTTTACTGATTTTTTTTATTAAAAGCTTTGTGTGAAAAATGCTATGCTAAAGAGCTCAAACCACACCGAGCGTCCGCCATTTTGAGAACCGAAAAAAGGAAGGATGTCATGTCAAGGGGCCTCCCTCCCATTTTGCTTAAAGAGACACACTACTCGCTCCCTCACTATCCATCCTTTGGTTCAAACAGTTTTGTCCGGTGGTCAAAAAAATGTACTATACTCAAAACAAACTAACCAACATTTCTTCTTAAATTTGACAACAATTACTAATTATTGTCATATTTCAAACTATATTATCGTTTATCGCAATAATTTCTGGGACAATTAATCGCCCAGCAAAATTTGTTATTGTGACAGGCCTAATAACAATATTGATGAAAATAACTGAATATTACTTTTTCCATTATTGAGCAACACTAGTATGGATTTATTTCAACTATGGAAGCAAGTTCAGTCTTCAGAATGGATGCAGAACTCCACTGCTTAAACAGGAAAAAAAAAAAAAACTAAAACAAAGAAACGGATCAGAAACATTTGTCCAGCATCACGAGGTGAAAGAGGGGCGGTGGTTACATTTCTTCCAAACTGTAATGGACTTACAAAGGCACAGCTTCCTCTGAGAATTCCCCAAAATTCATGTGATCAGAGGTAATTTACGCAGAGTTATATAAAGATCAGTTTTTGTGGGATGCAAAAGGAGTTCCTTCATCTGGGAGGGTGAAAACGTGGTGACAGGATGAGGCGTGTGTCGTGGACCGGCTCTCTGAGCAGAGAAACATGGCAGCACCGTCATCAGTTACTTACTTGGAAGTGATTGTCTTTGTTTGATTGTTGGGAATCCCCTTTATTACAGGACATCTATCAACAAGAGAAAAAGGAAAGAACTATCCATGAATAAGTACTGGAAGCCATTCATGAGCATTAGCACTAGAGTCCGAGCAGCGCAGACAGTACAGTATGAGTTCAAACACACACATCCTTCAGCTTCCTTTGCTTCCCACCTGACACCCAAAGAGTGAATAGAAAAGAGCGCAAAGAGCGAAGAAACTTGCTGCCAGATGTTTACGTGTAAATTAATTTGCTGATACTGCAGCGCTCCATTTCTTTACTGCTGAGAGACACTGTCTCAGCTCCGTTAATCATTAGTAGCCGTGCAGTCGGACAGGTTCCTTAATCATATTAGCTTTTTGATTAGACGTCACCAATACCTCCTGAGAGGCAGCCGCACCGAGGCAGAGTGGGCTGCAGTTACCTCGGTGAGGGACGCGCTGACTCGGCTCGCTCAAACATCCCGAGCAATAAAAGCTGTTTACGCAGCCATTTGCAATTAGACAGGCTTGAGTTACTTAAAGTCTCATGAAGCCTGTGGTTACTGCACACAAGAGTCCTGAGTCGCTTCACGGGTGCAAAGTTCAGGCCGAGCCATCTCTGGTGGAGTTTTGTCACAAAGACGAGCCCGCAGCGACGAACTCTGGACTCAACGGCCACGTCGCGATACGAGAAACAAATAAATAAGAAAATAAGAAAAGATGAGAATCCCCTACGAGCTGAACTGAACACAAACTGATGACTCCTGTTGCTGTTTCAGCTGAGCGAGCTGCAGGATCGTTGCCAGGACCTTATGTTTTGGCCACTACTTAAAAAGTAATCAGCTGACTTCTTAACAGTTAAGAATAACGAGGCAGAGATTTAGAAAAGAAAACAAAAGACAGACAGGAGGGGTAATTCAGCCTCATGTTTTCCCTCCACACAGTGTCTCCCTGGCGTTCTTTGCTACGTGAATGTGTGTTACATCTTTGTATTAGGCTGAGATTTCAGAGATCTCATACTGTACCGTGTTTTTTGGTGGGTTCATGGAACAAGAGTGCCCAAGGCACGCTCCTTTGGGAAGCCTACGGCAAAGAACACATGCATGTACAGCCATGGGGGTACATCACTATGTACAACAATGGCTAACACGCGCACACACACTCACACACACACATATGTACAGGTGTGAAGGCATCACTAACACATACATACTCTAACATAAGCAAATGAGCTACAGGCGCACACACAGGAACACCCTCTGATGGTGACACATCACCCTGACCTTTGTTACTGGAGTCATTATAAACACATTTCAAGGTACTCATAGCAAAGTATGATTTTTTTTTTTTTTTTTACTTGAACTATATCAAATGGTGCAGTTTGAAGGAGTTTGCTTCAGTAATTTTTCAGATAAACTGTAATTTCCGGACTCTACTTTGTCACACGCTTTGAACCCCGCGGCTTATTCTGATTCTTATACAATGCTGCGGCTAATTTATGTTTTTTTTGGGGTTTTTTGACAGCCTAACAAACTTCATGCTGCCAAAACATTTACTGATAGCAATCAGTGACTTCCTAGTTGGCTACTGCATTTTTTAACCAGCCGTGTTACAGGCACTGCTCAGAAAAAAACATTTATTGTACGTACCGTATTTTCCACCGTACACGTTGCACTGCCCTATAAGTCGCATCAGTCCAAATACGTATAATAAAGTGGAAAAATCCATAAATATGTCGCTTCGCCGTATACGTCACATCTATTATGAGTCACCGCTGACAACCTGGAAACGTGTGCCGGTGTTGTGCCAAAAATCGATGGGCTGCCAAATGGCGGGAACGTGCACGGGAGGACTTATTTAACAAGATAAACACCTAAAAACATTTCTTTGTTTGCTCAAAATTATAGTAAAAGTGTGTCTCAGTCTAACTTTTACTTAATAAATGCACTTTGACGGTCAAATCAGCTGCATTTCGCCATGGCAGCGCAGCAAAATGAAGCTGATTTGGTTGCTCCAGGCAGACGATGATGGCAGTCTGTGTCATTAATAGCCACTTTTACCTATTACATGATACAACGGCATGCCTTACTTCTCGAGTGACATCTAGCAGCTGAAAATGGTAGTGTTTGATTTTTTCAGTCAGAACGAATGAAAACGATCATATCTCAGCCAAAAATTGGTTTATAAATATGGAAAAAAAAATCCATAAATAAGTCGCATTGACGTATAAGTCACAGGGCATGCAAATTATGCAAGAAAAAAAAACTATGACTTATAGGCCGAAAAATACAGTGTATGTTACCAGTACATATTTAATTAAAAGTTTAAAGAGTCTTCTTTTAAATATCTCGTTACAACGTGGACGCCCTCAGCTTATAGAGAAGCGTGGCTTATACATGTACAAAATAAGAATAATTATTTTTAATTTAGTGGGCGTGGCTTATAATCGGGTGCGCTCAATAGTCCGGAAATTACGGTGTATTGATATGCAGTTCTAAAATGCGAGTTCACACTCAATGTAAACAAAGGATTCAGTTGGATCTGAAAGAAAACTAAACAAAACACGCAGAAGCTGGAGTGATTGACCTACATTAGGACGGTCGTAGTCTGTGATGGTAAACAGCTGGCAAGGCTAACTGATTTTCAGTCACATCAGCTGTTTCCGTAGGGAAACAAATGTGTGTGGTAGTCAGCTACCGGTCATAAATGTTTAATTTAAGGCAACATTAACCACCGATATGAGAAAAATATTGTGTGGACTTTGTTTCCTACGTTGTGACTTTTTAAACCTGGTCTTCATGACTTTGCATTGAGTACCTTCAACTTCAAAAACAATCAGCGTATGAATTGTACTTTTTAATGCATTAAATTGTGTGTCGTAAGGCAAGACTTATAAACAGTAACAGTAGACTAAACGACCCTGGAGGAGAGGTGTGGGGGCTACGTTTTCAGATAAACATTCTCACACAGTGCCTGACCTACTCGTAACTTTATGTTTGAGGAGTGAGGCCCACCTGCAGGATGGCCCCATAGAGACGCAGCAGGACACTCCGCGGCTCGTCCCCGACAGAGTCCAGGCTGTCGGGGATGCTGCACAGGAAGAGCTTGTTGCTCAGACCACCCCTGGAGGACAGACACAAACACAGACAAGACATTTATACAAACCTTGCATGACTTTTCAAGTTTACTTTGTTTTTATCTGATGAGGATCGTTTAAATTACATAAAGTGACGAAATCCCCAACCCGAACTGCTCTGACTCTATTTATAGCATCAGAATAGAAACGCCGCCATTTCCTGTGCAAAACACAAGCAGAGCAGAAACTCTGCTCATCAGAAGGTGCATCCATCCGTTTTCTTTACCCACTTTTGCTTTTACAGGCTGCAGGGAAGCTGGTGCCTACAAGCATGTCTTAAAGACATAAAAACATGGATGACCCTAAATTTTCTGCTTTTGAACACGGACAAGACTGAGGTTTTACTGGTAGTTTTTGGACCTGAGCATCTTAGGAATGAATTTTTCAGTCTTTCTCCCTCCTTGGATGGCATTAATCTGGCCTTCAGCTCTGATGTTAAAAATCTTTGTGTTATGTTTGATCAGGACATGTCTTTCATCCCCCACATTAAAAACGTTACTAGAACTGCCTTCTTCCACCTGCGTAATATCGCTAAAATTAGAAACATCTTATCTAAAAACAATGCAGAAAAACTGGTCCATGCATTTGTCGCATCTAGACTGGACTATTGCAATGGTTTGTTATCTGAGTGTCCAAATACGTCTTTAAAAAGTCTTCAGTTGATCCAAAATGCTGCTGCCAGAGTCTTAACTGGAGTTAGTGGGAGAGATCATATCTCTCCAGTTTTAGTGTCTCTCCATTGGCTCCAGTGCTTCCCCTACCATTATACAGGCGGGATGCCCCACCCCATCAACAGAACTGAGCACCCCGCCTACCAAACTGAACTTGCCCCTCCCACCCCCACCCGGCACTGAAATATCACTAAGGTAGCGGCGCAAAATACAGGCTCTCTAGCTAAAAAGCACTCACATTGCCTCTTCCCTCATGTTGAACGCCCCCCGCCCCAGCTCAAAAACTGTTAGTACAAGCTGCGCTCAGACATGTCTCCGTCCCCCCCCCATCAGCAAAAATTATGAATGAGATGAGCACCCCACCATGGCAAGCAAACTAGGGGAAACACTGGGCTCCCTGTCAAATCCAGAATTGAATTTAAACTCTTACTTCTAACCTACAAAGCTCTCAACAACCTAGCTCCATTTTATATTTGAGACACTATTGTTCCATATTTTCCTAAAAGAGCACTTCGCTCTCAGACTGCAGGCTTAATCGCGGTTCCTAGAGTTTCCAAAAGCAGAATGGGAGGAAGATCTTTCAGTTATCAGGCTCCTCTCTTGTGGGACCAACTTCCAGTTTCTGTCTATGAGGCTGACACATTGTTCAGTTTTAAGACTTTCCTTTTTGATAAATCCTATAGTTAGGGTTGACTTGTTATGCTGCTATAGACAGACTACTGGAGGACAAACTGACCTCATCTCCTTAAAAGAGTTGCTAAAATTAAATTGTTTTCTTTTGATACTATTTTTATCTTAACATGTGATTCTTGACCTGCCATTGTGTATCTGTTCCTCTCAAACCCAGCCGGTCGAAGCAGATGATCGCTTGTCCTGAGCTGGTTCTGCTGGAGGTTTCTTGCTCATGAGGGAGTTTTTCCTTTCCACTGTCGCCTTCGTGCTTGCTCAAGATGAAAGTTCTGTGATGAAGTTATATTCAAAGCAGTCTGCTCCTCAGATAAATAATGTTAAATTATATATATATATATATATATATATAT